AAAAGAACTGGAAGTTTAGACAAAAGCTTCGAAGGTATTAAGTAGGAAAAAAAGATAGATTTTAAATCTTTACTCTTCAGCTCAAACCAACATTCTTGGTATATTGATTTTAGGAACACCAAAGATTGGGAAGCCGGAGAAACCAGCTGATTCTGAGGTAGCTACCTAAATTTTGTTTGGTGTTTTCAACTCAAAATTTCTTGTTCTTTAAGGGTTTGATCAAATGCATTTAACAGAGACCGACAGCGACCAAGGTTGCAAGCATGTTTGTCGGCACAAAAGACAAATGCCTTGGCTGTAAGAACACAGTGTATCCGACCGAGAAGGTAAGTTCTGTTTCTGATTTGGGTAATTGAAATAGTTTTAGATTCAAAAGAGACCCATTTGAACGTTTGTTTTGTTGGTTCTTTCTTTCTCAGGTTTCAGTGAATGGAACCCCGTACCACAAGAGCTGCTTCAAGTGCTGCCATGGCGGATGTACAATTAGCCCATCAAATTACATTGCCCATGAAGGCCGACTTTACTGCAAACATCACCATACCCAACTCATCAAAGAAAAAGGAAACTTGAGCCAGCTGGAGGGAAGCCATTAAAGGACCTTAAGCTCGTAGGCCCTTTTTATGTGGCTCCATACCTCTCTTCCTTTTTAGTCCTGCTTTTACGCTGTTCCCTTCTGAATTTTCAGCACTACCCTTTGAAATTCGAATGCTTTTGTAGAACAAAAGAAGTTATCGTGTGGGTGTCTCTGGTTTTTCCCTCTGATTCCAGCTTCGGTTACTGAATTCAAAAATTAAAAAAATTGATGTTAAAAGCCAACGTGTTGATCATCCGCCATTAAAGAACATCAACAGTCTCCAAAAGAGGCCGTTCGTTAATTTGTCCTTTTTGGACGTCGGCATTCACGAACTATATGATTATAATTCAAGATTAAACTATACATAAACATATACCGATTATACGTAATTTCTAGACATGGGTTCTTTCAGAAAGTTCCAAAATTAACTAAGCTAGGCTATGGCTCGGCGAAGGCTACGCCTATGGATCTGTTTTACTTCTTCTTCTTTATACATCTTGATTTGATTATCAAACATTGATACAAATGGGTTTGGAAGCATTATTTTTCTCTCTTGTTTGAGTGTGGAACCTCCACGTGAAGAGGTAGTCTCGGGACACGCAAGAAAGTTTGATGACATCACAGAAGGCGGTGATGGAATTTTTCTTTCCATCACTGTTTCCCCATTCGATTCTCACCCAGCAAGAGAACCCATTTGAGGAATGGGACACCGCCGCCGCATCGGAGAGGTGGAGCATCACTTCGCCGCCAATTCTTCTACCTTTGAGCCGTTCGTCTCCGGTGACCATCGAATCCAACCACAGGCACTCTGGCTGCCCGATCATCTCCTTGTAGGCCGAATTCGCCATTCTCACTTTGTTGTTCGAGTCCGATATGACCGCCGGTAACACCTCGGATTCCACCTCCTTTTCCACTTCATCTGGTTTCTTCGGCGCCTGTGGAGTACTGCTGGAGCGGCTCGGGGTTTGGGCTTCGTTGATGCACCCAACACGAATGCTCGAGCCAACGGGGCGAACAGGGTGCGGTGTTATAACGTTGCAGGTGGAAACTGGACCTTGAAGTTGCCGCAACAAATCCTTCTCTTCGGGAATTTCAGGAACGACTGCACAAGCGTTAAATTCCATCCCATTTTCTTCATCAAAGGAGTTGACGAAGTTAAAATCAGAGCCGGCACTGGTTTCATCAGAAACAGAGGACGGCGGCGCACATGGAAGAAGCGGAAGCGTCACAAGATTAGAATTTGCAGGCGCATCATCAAACCCACCAGCGCCATTAACAGATACAACAGAAAGCTGAGGAAGTAAAGAGCCAGAGCGAAAGGGGTGGATCGAGAAAGTGGAGGGCGTAGTAGCCCTGGATCGCTTCAAGGCGTGAGGCGAAATGGGGGCAGCGCGAGGTCTCTTGCGGGTACGAGTGGGTCTGGCCTGTAAGTGTGGCCATACATTTCGAAGAAACGTGGAGGAGGAGGGGGGAATGTTGTGGGAGTGATCGGTGGTGGGGAAGGGGGAGGGGGGTTCGGGCTTCGGGGCGATGGGCCGGTATCTGGACATGATCTCGGCCGTCTTGTCAGTGGAGGTGAAGGGAGTGAGGGTCTTGATCATGGCGGTGGAGGCGAGGGGGAGGGGGGTTGGTGGAGGAGGGAAATGGGATTTAAGTTGAGGGGGGGAAGAATGGAACGGTGGGGAGTGGCGAATGGGGGAAGGGCAACATGAAGCAGGAAGGGAGGGGAGAGGGACAGGTGGGAGTGTACGGTGGGGTACGTGTAGGAAAAGAGGACATGTGGGAAGGGGTGGGGCCATGCAGAGCCAACGCATATCCAATCCAAGAGATGAGAATAAGGGGGGTGGGAATGTGAATCAATGGGCTTTGAGGGGAAGGTGGAAGGGAGGGATTGCGGGCCAATGCGGAGGGCGTTGCATGCAAAGGGGATTGGAGGGATGGCGGGTGGAGGTGTGGGGCGTTGGAAAAGCCGCCCTGTTTGTTTCTAGTTTTGGTTCAATGGTTGGTTGGAACTGGAAGTGGCGAGGAGGGAGGGAGAGAGGGAAGGAGGGTTTAGGTCCATTATTGAGCTGCCTCTTCGGTTTCTGCCCAATTTATGCTTTGCTGACATTTGGATGAAAAGGAAACAGGATACTAGTCTGAACCCAGTTCTTACAAGAAAAAAAAAACCTCTTTAATTTCCCTTTTTGTGTTATTTTGTTTTGAATTTGATATGGATCGGCCTTTGTGTTGGGTTTGCAGCATTATGTACTGATTCTTGGTTTCTGTGTGCTGATTCCTAGTTTGATTGTTCCTCAAATGGGTGGTGGCGATTTAAGACAGTCTTGCACTAGATTTTACAGCTACTCTTGGAATTCTTCAATGTCTTTAGCTTATTGGGTTTAAGAACTCGGGCTGGGAGGGGCAAGGTGATTCTGACTCTGTTGTTTGTTTCGGGATTCAACACATTATTTCAGTCCTTGTTTGGGCCTAGACTTTCAGTTCTGGTCGTCCCTTCATATGCCTATCTTGTTTCTACCGACCCGATTCTTTTGGCTAAAAGATTATGTTTGATTTCATTCATTTTGGTCCGGTGCACTATCAGCCTCACGATTTTTAAAACACATTTGATAGAAAGTGGTTTCCACACTTTAACCCTTAGGGGCAGCGTCCTCACACCCTTGTAAGAAATGCTTCTACCCTTGTAAGAAATGCTTCTTCTTTCTCCCTTCTTCTCCTTCCCCTCTCCAACCAACGTGGGATCTTACAATCAACCTCAAATAAAAAATGTTCTATTTAATCAATGTAGGATCTTGCAATCCACCCACTTGAGACTTCCTCGTAACTAACTCTAATATCATTTAAAACGGTCCAAGCCGACCGTTAGCATATATTGTCCGCTTTTACTCGTCATGCATTGACGTCAGCCTCATAATTTTTAAAACGCATCTTCTAAGGACAAGTTTCCACACAGTTCCCTTTTGAAGCCAACGTTCTCGACAACGTTCTCGACTTTTATAAGGAATGTTTCGTTCACCTCTTCAACCAACATGAGATTTTGACGGTAGGAATCTGAAAGGGCATTTACTTGTTGAATACTTGGAGAGATTGGTTCAGACCGGTGCTCTCATAGTAATGCAATAGCTTTCCAATGGTAATGCAATAGCTGGCCTCTTGCTCTCCAACCTTACCTTGGCTATTAATTCCCTTCCTACTGTTCTTTGCTCTTTTTAGCTAGCAAAACGAGCAGAAATTGGACTTCCAGGACTGATTATTATAGTTTTCATCTCACAGGCAAGTAACAGTTCATGTTTATCCTCCTTTTCAGTTTCACAAAGTGCATTGAGGGTATCACAAACTTTTCTTGATTGCCTTGTGCTTTTGCACTACCTTCCTGTCCTCGCTTACTAAAAACAAAAAGCCCAATGTATGATCGATATTCAGTGCTATATGCACACCTCCTGACTTCAAGTACTGTTCATAATCACAAACCCACACATACTCCATTTATCACATATATTAGACGTTAATGTGTTTGGATCGTTGGGAAAACCAACCCCATTTATCACATGTTGGAGTGTGTTTCTCTAATGGTAGCAGAAGGGTGATCCAAATATATCAGCTGGCTTCATGATTTTCTTCTCTGTTTTGGGTATGCTGGAATGAATTTACGGACAAAATATTGATACTTTTTAAGCTTGGGAAATATCTCTACTTTGGTGAACAAGTTTGACTCGCTGTCATCATAAACAGGGAAATTTGGAGCACTTTTGGGCTCTGTTCCTCATCCAATTATTGCTGCTGCGTTGTATTGTGTCTTATTCGGCTATGTCTGTGCGTACCCCCATCTCTCTAACTTGCCTCCATTTTTTCAATCCTTGTATTTCATCTAATGACGTGTGGAATCTGATTCTAGAATTGACAACACCAGCCACATGGTTTGTATTTTCCTATGAATTATTAGATATTGCTTAAAATTGGTCACTGACATCCCCAGCCTCTTCTCCCCTTGGGTTTCTCCAATTCTGTAACTTGAACAGTTTCAGATCATAATTCATCTTGGTCTCCTCCTTTTTGGGTTTGTCAATACCACAATACTTCAGATAATACCAGTCGGAGCACGTCCACTCTGGCCATGGATGGGTAACCAGAATGAGACACAATAAAGAATCAACTATTTAAGTGAATGTTTTATCTCCCTTCTGCTTATTTATCCGATGCTCGTTCTTCTTATTCTGCATTGCATTGCAGTCTAATGATCTCGTGCTTGTGATCTTGTAACAGCTCAAACTTACTACTAATAGATGTTCGGCTCTGATACATTAGCACATTAGCATCCTCATTGGCACACCACCAGTGTCCAACTTTGATTCTGATACCATTTGTAATACGGAACAAAGCAAGTGTGTGAAAACTTCTTCCTAGTAGACACGTTTTGAAACTTTAAGGATGACAACGGTAAGTAATGAGCCGAACTGCAGAGTTTTTCATTCACTTTTCCATTTCAAACTAAGAAAAGAAAATTGGAAATCAGTGGAGGATTTGGTTTATTATCTGCTGAGTTTTTCTCCCTGCCAACTTGGATTGAAACAGAAACTATTAAATCAATCCAATTCATCAAAACTCGAGCTCACAAGAAAGGAACAGTTGCAAAATTCAAAACCCATTTCTAATTTGAAGCTGAGGTAATAGCTCTGTAATCTCACAAAGCAGTAATGGCTTCCCATTATTAGCAGCAAGGACTTTTAAACATCGAGTGTTTAATGCAAAAACGAAAAGGGCAGGTTTGACTTTAACTTAGCTAACATTCACGGATGTCGGATTGTTGTCTTTGTCCTGAAAGGGAAAGAAAGCAAGGGAGTGAGAGAAGAAAGAATCTTTGAAAAGGTGGAATTATGATAAGAGATGGCAACCAACCGGCCATGTTTGACCTTGCTTTTCCCCCCCATTGCTTTAGGGACCATCTTCTTTACAACCAGAGCCCATACTTCTCGAGCCTTAGCAAAAATTTGGCGAAATTTTGGGTCACTTTTAAACGAGTTCTACAACTCAAACCACTAACCTGCAAGGCCATTTTCCATTCTCTTTTTCTGGTAATGGAACTGAACTGGCAATCACATAACAGAGAAGAAGAAAAAAGAAGATGAATTATGAGAAAGGGATGGGATAACAATAGTCAGCACAATGATATAATATTGCGAGATTGCTTTGAACTTTCAATCATATCATTCCCTAAATTAGCCAATGTGAGACTCCCTTCCAACCATTCTCAAAACAAAGATAGTCAAACAAAAAACGGCGACCAAAACTAATCTCCTAAAAGGGGATTCGACCGTGGGGACCTGCAGAATCTTAACTTTTTGAGCAATTTTCTAATAGGGACACAACCTTTTGGCAATTAGAAGATATAAGAGAAGGTAAGTATGAACAGACAGAAAAAGCAGTAAATTCTTTCAAAAAAGAGAGCTCCATAACATCCCAAGCTCTCCATTGAACCACTCATAACCCAGTGAAGAAGAAGAAGAAGAAACCATGGCGATAGGAAAAGACAGAACAGGAATTTGAAAAATGGGATTTGCAAGTAAGATACACAGCAGTACACGATTATATGCTTGTCGGTTGTTTAACAAAAAATGGAAGTCTAAATACTAATTTAACACATTTAATACCAAACAGCTGATAGAACACAAGAGAGAGAAGGAAAAAACAGGACACCCAGAAGAGGATAATGAGAAAAGACGATTGTTTTTATCGTCTTGTTTTGGTGATAGAGAGAAAAAGGCAGCCATGATGGGTCAAAAAAGGAGATAGAAAGAAACTGATGAAGATTAGTCAATGGGGTCATTAGGAAAAAGTAAAATCCAAACTTAATCAAAGCTGTTAATGGAAATGAGGGTGGGTTTGTTCCAAAATAGGCTTCAATTTTAATGGAAATGACAGCCCCACCATTGTACATTTTCAGGGGGACCTACTGTTGTCGCACATCCAAACGTTTGTCGCTTTAGATATCATCCATTCTTCTTGATTTCCCCATTGTTCTTGCCAACTGGCATCTCTGATGTGTCCACAAACAGATAAAGGAAGCAAAAACCAAAAGATAAAACGAGGGATAAACTAAGTCCAGGACTTTAGTGTGATTGTTTTGGTCCCTTTTTCCCCTCTTCAATAGAAATGCCACAACGCAGAGAAAGAGAAGATGGAAATTTTTGTTATATAAACAATCCAATTTCCATCGCCTCTTCTGCTACCTGATACCAAAAATTCCCTCAAAGCCTAACCACTGAATTGCCACCATGAATGATTGGTCTGCTACACATTATTGCAGTGGAGGTGAATCAGGTTGGACTATGTACTTAGACCAATCCTATACTTCAGACCATCGTTTCGGCGGCGGGGTTGATGGGGTAAAGGAAGCAAAAGCAAGAGCAGAGGAGGCGGATGAAGAAGATCTATCAATGGTGTCTGATGCTTCCTCAGGTCCACCACATTACCTTGAGGACAACGAAGAATTGTTTTACAATAATGGGTATTCTTCCTATGCCTATTCAGCTTCAGATTCAACAATAAATTGCAGCAAGGAGGAGAAAAAGAAGAGCAAGAAAAGCAAACAAAATGGCAGAAATCAGCAACCTTCTTACCTTGATGACACTGCTAGCTCCCCTGTATATGGCTACGGCAAAGCAAGCGTAAACAACAGTTCCATCAGATTCTTCCGTGTAGGTCCAAGAATTCTTCTATCGTTCTAATGTTGTTGATTGTTCATCGTGCAGAAAATCAAGGCAGCAACAAGCAACAAAGCTTCGGAGGAGAATCCAGTTGATTTTTCTCAGGGATTCTCAGCAACCCACTTTAAGGTAAATTCTTCTTCTTCTTCTTCTTCTTCTTCTTCTTCCTAAAATCGAGCAAGTTCTTTGATGTGTTATTAACTCAAAAGTGAAACTTTAATTAAACACAGAGAAAATCTGCACTGAGGAAACAAAAATCAGCGCCAGAAGAATAAGGGTATTAGCGATTCCGCCGCAGCTTCCGATGCCCTTTTTGGGCCGTCAAGTAAATGACAACGACATGTTATAGAAATCAGAGGGATATTGTTCCTTTTATTATTATTATTATTATTATTCTCAATTTAATTTCCCCCCAATGTTTTAGGCTGTGTTGGCTTCTCTTTTCCACGTTCTTGTCAAGGCAATGGGAAACATGAAACACTAAAAACGGACCGAAAAATGGAAAAAGAAAAAGAGTTTAAAGCATACATCTTAGATCTTAGTTTACTATAAACAGAAAATTCCTCACTCATTGAATATATCCAAAAAAAAAAAAAAAATTAAAACAATTGGAGTAATTAAGAGTGAATGGTTTGAATCTTGGAATTAAAGAAAAAAATAAGTTTAAATACATATTATTAAAACAAAAGGAAAAAGAAAAAGGGATGTGGATATAAAATAAGGAAGGTGGCAGCATATTTCCCACAAAAAATAAAAAGGAAAAGGAACAAATAAAGAGAGGAAGAAAATGATTAAGCAATAATAATAAGGGTCACAACTCAAAAGAGCAACTTTAATTTGGGGGCACTGGGAGATGCCAGCCTAGATGCTAAGTGACCAAACAACATCTGATTATTGAAGAGAAAATGGGAAAGAGACAAACATGTTGGAAGGAAGTCGAAAACGTAGAGCTTCGTCTAATTTCAAACCAAAAACGGACGACAAATAAAGCAACCCCACCACTCTTGGGACAAGACAACTACCGACTAGGAATATGATCCATTAAATGAAACCGCTCCAATTATTATTATCATTATTATTTCTTTTCTGCATAATAAAAGAAAAAGAAAAAAAAAATCCATCTTTTTCTCCAGAAAATTGCGCCCACATCTTGGAAACGATGTGGATTCTTGGTAATGGACAACTCTGCCCACTTCATTCTAACACGTCCAATGCCAATCCTCTTTGGATCATTGTATTAAAACATTACAAAGCTTGAAGAACAGTCCATAAATGGAGAACCAACCTACCCAGAGCCCAGAAGCTTGTACACACACTCAACGGAGTAACCTGCAGTGCACAGTTCTTACCATCAACTCCAATGCAAGCTTCTTGGTGCCACACATGAACAGATCGTTTATCTGAAACTACATTTCTGCAGAATAGCGTTTCAAAAAATATCCTTCTCAAAGATATGCATTGTATCACTTACCATTTCAATCTATATGTTAAACAAACACAAATACTTTCTGTGGGAACATTGAGAATTCAATGGCAATAAGTTGTAGTTAGTGCTAAAAAAAATCAGGATGCAGAGTAAAGTCTTTCACCTGCTTAAGCCTGCAAGCGAGATCAATTTACCACCGAAACTCCACTGTAGTATATTATAAAAGATAACCTGGAAAGTGTATTAATTATACTCCCAACTGTTGTTCATTCTGAATTAGCAGAGTATACTTCAAAAATATATAACCGTAGATAAATAAGAATACCCTGCATTTGCACTGCAAATACTAACAACAAAGTAAAAGAACAATGTTTTGTTGGGGGTATTTTTTAGTTTTTCGATGGGAGTGGGGAGGGAAAGGCGGTATGCAAGAACTTCTTAAGACTAAAGGAACTACTTTTAAGTTCAAAAAAAAATAATCAATGATACAATACAACACTCTGCTTTAGACGCTCAGATAACCCCCCTCCCAAGAACAAAATTGTAGGAATCGAGAGATGTCATAGAAAGAATGGTGGATTCCAACATTCAAGTATATCCTAGAAAACGCCTTTAATATGAGGACTTAAGTCCCATATATATGTCTGTGCACAGGTGGGGCATCGAAAGTGTTAACCACTTCTAACCATGGTTTTTCTATAATCAAGAGTGAAGTTTTGGAGAGGTGCCCAATAAGTAAAACAGGATCTCTAAAAGGAAAATTTTCAAAATTCTTTCTACCATGTGGTCTACCCTCTGTTTGGCAGTCTCTTAGCTTTCGTTTCAGTTTTCCATTTATTGGAGTACCCCATAAATTCTTCACCGTTGAATCTTGTCCACTTATCATGACATATTCATCATTTTGGTCCACTGACATTCTAAAGTCAATCAAGCACATTGCCCTACAAAATAAAAGATATTTTTTCAGTCAAACGTCAAAATGTATAGACTGAGGTACGCAGGATCGAACAGAGATAAACATGAGTATAGCGCCAAGATTTCCTAACAATGAATATAGATCACTGATTCAATCAAAATCAACAAATAATCTGAACATGCAAAAGAGTGAAATGTATTTTCAAGACCCGCAGGGTTAATGACACAATGGCTTTGTCATAATGTAATATCATGAAATACTTGAAATGTATTTTCAAGACCCGCAGGGTTAATGACACAATGGCTTTGTCATAATGTAATATCATGAAATACTTGGTCACAAGAATAAGCATATATCTAAGTACAACTCTTCTTCCAGAAAAGTAGACAGGATATAAAAGAACTAAAAGCTTAGCACACAACAACGTAGTAATCAACCACACAACGGTGCAAGTCTATCAAATTCAAGATACCAAATTTCATTTTTACAAGGGAAAATTTGTTCAAGTACATTTCACTTCAGCGAATAAAACAGTAATGTAGAGCAATACCTGGAACTATACACAATAACAGGCAATGAAGTGGTAGATGGTGGGAAAGAGAGACCAATAACCTCCCCAGGAAATTCTTGAAACCTCTTCGGGAGAGCTTGTGTATGCCGCATTGACCAGTCTCCTAATTGCTTGGCCTCAATATCAAAGGCATAAATCTGATTGGAAGAAGTAGTGACTACAAGCACATTGTTGTTCCATTGAGGAAAGCCTCCTGCTGTAATTGAGGCACCATCTAGTCTCGAAATGAACCAGTGTTGCCTGTTACAAGAGAAAAATAGTCCGTGCATAACTTTCTTGGAAACCATGAGAATGCAGATAGGAAGGGAGGGCAATGATATGATAAGCTGCTGATGAAACAATACATCAGCACAACAAGATAACAAACCTCAAAATCTCCATATTGAATACGTATATATCTCCAAAGCAGTTGACTGCAGCTAACCACTGCCCATCTGAACTTGTAAATATTTTTGTTATAGGAGGTTCAGCGGGTGGCAATATATCATCCTGTTGCTCCCGGAAAGGCGTAAAACTATGTAAGACTTCCAAACTACTCACATCCACAACCTGTTCCCACGGGAAAGGGTTAAGAAATTAAATTAAATAGCATTCAATAAATTGACCAAACAATCCACCACAGAAGCATCAAATGTCTTTAATATTAGCTTATTTGTTCACCAGGAAAACAGAAATCAATAGCATGCAATTAAAGAGTCCAACATATCAATCAGCTAAAACAATTCCCTCTCAACAGCAACAGATATAAAATGATACCCTCATATTTTATTGAAATAATTTTACAAAATAATCCAATAAATTCATACCACAAAATGTCAAACGTGCTTCATGAAATTAGAGGTAATAAGAAAAATATATCAAGACAAATCAGGTACTGTATCATAGATTGATCTAGTAAAGCAACTTACATATATCCTTTTATCATGCCCTGCTATGATTAATCGAGAAGAATCAAAACTGAAGACCATAGAATGGGCAAATGGTAGCGTATTTGGAAGTTTCCTTCTATTAACAGTCCACGAACATTTGCTTCCTCCAGATTTCTTCAATTCATATAAGTTGGGTTTGGCGTGATCAGAAAATGCAAACAGCTTTCCAGAGTTGGAAATAGTACTGCAGATAATCTTTCGAGATGCCTTGCTCTTAACTCGAACCAATAAATCTGCCTTTGCAAGTCCCTTAGAAGGGCCACAAGTCTTATCTCCAAACGAACCACATTTTGGGCGAACACACAGGATGTCCAAAGAGTGAGCAGCCTGAACAAGTAATAATGGTGCTTGGTTGAAAACTGTATTGAGTACAAGTTGCATAGGTACCCTTTGCGGTGCAGGACATATATCATGGGGAGAAAATTTGGTAAATTCCTGAGCAGAGTATGCAAACAGCTTTGTATCATCACCGCCTGACATTAACATTGGAACTCCCAGATGGGCCCACTTATGATAGCTAAAGTCATTAGGCTTCCTCTTATGACGAATTCTTTTCACCTCAACATCTTGGGACGCCTCTGCCGCTAAGAAAAACAAAATCTAAAAAGTTTAGGAAACAAAAGGGATCGTATTCAATCTTGATTATGAAATAAAGCTTCACCAACAAACAAGCCTAGAGTTCACCGCAGATGCATCAGATGAAAAATGCCCAATTTTGGTATTGACAAAAATAACACTAACAAGGACAAAAACTAAAAAAAAAATACCTTCTCGACAAATCGGTACTGCAACAGTCAAAGCCCTGATATCATGAGTATGAGCCCTTACATGACCAACATAAATCCATTTCTTCATCATTTCAGAAGAATACTTGTCTTCACTAGATAGAACATTCTCGTTAGAGAGCTTGTAGAGAATGACCTACAAAGACAATATATTCACAAGACACAAGTGTTATGGAATTTGATTTACCACATAGAAAGACGATAAAAACATTAACTTAATTCCTCAGCAACTAAGCCTGTAATTCAGGTCACCAGTGATTCCATTCATTGTTTGGGACAATGTGACAGACTGATAAAATTGAAAAGGAATTTTCTCAACAAGAATGAATTCATTTAACAAGCTCCCATAAGGAAAACAAATTAGGACAAATTATCAACTGATAAGCAATATGGACAGTGAACATTACAAACTAGCCCCTTCTTTGTTCACAAACACACACAAAAAACAATCTTCAATGATTTCTACTCGCCAAAACAAAACACAGCTACTGCAACCTACTGCCTTCCACAATATATAAAAGTAATAAAATCAGTGAACTGTCAACATGATCAACCTCTAAGATTGTTAAAGAAATTTCAACTCTAAGCACACGGTTTGCTTGCCCCTCATCTCCCAGTCAGAATAGCAATAGATGGCTACAGGCTAAAACAATAGCTTGAGACATCAATCCTTCACTCCTTTTGTTCTATACTTTCATAACTCAAGACTAAAGAAATCTGTGATTATTTTAAGAATCAGAAAAGTAACTAATCAAATGGGCATAGGCCAAAAATACATGGATAATGATACAATAAGAATCTTTGATAAAAACAAGATTGCTGAGTGGTGTAGAAGAATCAAAAT